CTGACTGCTACCACTCGGTCGCTTGGTTCCCCCCAGCCGCTCTCAGAGACGGGATTTAGGAATAACTTCAACCATCAGCCGTAGCAGCATTAACCCCAAGCTCAACACGGCGAGGCACATCACCAACAGGAGATGTTTGCACAAAAGCCACCCGTTTAGTTAAAGGAAGCATTATAAAAATAGTGTTTAAAAAGAAGCATAAAAGGAGTTTTAGAGTGATGAAGTGTTCTCTATACCCTGTTCTGGAAAGTCTTTCCAGACAAGGTTTTAAAAAAAAAAAAAAGTGTTATTTGTTCCTCTCTTTTGGGGAAAGGGCATTAGCACTGCAAATGGCTAAAACAAAAGTCACTGACACTCATTATGGGAAAACAGCCTCTGCTTTCCCAAACACCCCAGACTCCCCTAAAGCAACTTCTGGCTTTTATTCTGATCATTGCCAAAGTGTGAATGATTCTAGGTTAGGTCACAAAATTCAAACTCAGTGTTTTGAGTGACCATAAGCAACGACTTGACCTCTAGTATCCTGTTGCTTCTACCTCACTGGCAAAGCCACAAAGATTCACGAAGCCTGAATTACAGCGAGGCACAGGTAGAGCTAACCTCTTCCTCCCGGGGAAGGCTCATCTCTCCCCGCATCCAGCACAGTGTCCTGTTTTTCCTCCCAGTTGAAGATGAGTCCCCCTCACCCTGCCTGGCAGTAGGCCTGCCTGTTGAGGAATGTGTTGTAAGAGCTATTTAAACATCGTCTGTTTAGGCCCCTATAAAACAAGGGGTCCTCAAGGCACCCCAGACTAACACCTCCCAACCCAAAGAACTGCTGCTTCAGCCAACCTCACTGCTTCTGCAGGAGATTAGGATCAAAAGAAATCAGAGGTGGAAATGTCTCAAGGGTGGAGCAGTTGTTACTTGGCCACACAAGCAAGGAACCCCTAGTTAAATACCACCTGATCTCAGCAACAACAACATTAAAAAAACCCACCAAAAGCCTTTGAGGAATTAAGCCAAGAAAACTCACGAAGAGATTCAAAAGCTGGTTACAAGTTAAGACTTCCCCCCCTCCCCCAGAAAATCTGGTTTTGCTCTTAAAGTCTTGGAATAAAGCAATGGATGTCCCAAGTCATTGAGAAGTACAACAACTCCTTTCAACAGCCCTTTTCAAAAGCAGCACAGAAGTTCTACCACATGGGAAGGGATAAAGAGGAACATAAAACAGCTTTTCATGTAGGAACCAACCTGTTTGGGTGTATCAAAGTTGTCACAAGTTCTTCCCAAAGCAGAACTCAATCAGTTTAGCAGCCATAGTCTGGGTAAAGCTACAGAATTTATCCCAGAGACCCTTTCCATCAGCCAAAGCTCTCATGACATCCCATTAAACCACTGCAGACTTCTTTTAAAAGCATTCACCGTCACTCCCTAAAGAGAAGTAAGACAGCACAATATAAGGCCTTCAGCACCTAGGAAGGGAGACAGCATGACACCCGTACCCAGCCAGCCACCTGCACTGCTACTTGGGTAGCCACCTCCCCTCAAGTGTTTGCAATGCTACAGACCAGCACCTGGCTCAGAGCTGGGCAACGCCACTGCAGGAGGTCAACCTCAGGGCCCAAACGCTACTCTGAAAACAAGCAGAAGTACAAAGTAATGCTTTAATCCTGACTTGCCTGCTGCCTTCTCACGTTATTTTAAGGAGACTTCTAACTATCCAGAGCAGGAACCCTCATGGATGCTCGCGTTACCAGGAAGAAAATACAGCATAAGGCAACACTGCACTTGCCAGGAGGACCAGAAATGGACAGCACGGGTATTTGGGGAGGTGAGAGTAGAGTTTATACATGGAATGCGAGAGCACTACAGCAGTATTTAGAGCACTTCTGAGGCACAAGTGTTCAGAGGAGGCCCAATTCTGCCTAAGAGTTTGACCCTCCAGTTCTACATTTGTGCCTACCACCTAGCTGTTTGGCCACACGAGATCTGACTACTCTCTAGTGCAGGGTACCTAAGAACTGAGATCATGAGACCACCTGGAATAGCTCAGTGACAGAAGGCAGGAAGAACATCCATCTAGGGGTTAGAGCAGACAGGATGCTCCATCATACAGCTGTCCTGGTCTATTGGTTAAGTGTTTCCTGGAGGAAAAACTCTACCTTCTAGAAAGGATTGCAGCTGAGAAGGATACTGTTAGCCACAAGTATTAATTACAGATTGTTTTAAGTCTTTAGTTGCTTATACTCCACCACAGCAGCAACACCTGGCTGCACCAGTATCACTCAAGCATCTTCTGAAGAGGCAGAGATTGCTTGGGATTGCCAATAAGAACATAGGTGCATGCATCAACCTGTCCTCTGGTCTCCCCACCCACCCTTGCAAGAATTCAGTAGCCTGTAAAGAACTGGCCTTCAGTGAAGGAAATAACGTTAGTAAAAAAGCTGAAGGCTGACAACATCCCTCCTGCTAGGGTGACTCTAGGCCATCAGCAGCTTAAGCAGATCTTACAAAGATGACTGATCTTTAACAAATCAGTACCCATAAATACCAAAAACTGCAGTGTCAAACAGCTATGCAGAGGTGAGCCAGCACAGCACAGAAAGAAAAGGAAAAAGCATGTTGCATTAGTGTTCACTCAAGATCTTCTGCACAACCCAAGCACCTGGGTGCTGGCACTTTCTCCCTCTGAGAATTATGGTTTCTGATAAGCTTGATGCTGCCGGCAGGTTAGCAGTTCTCTCCGTAGCGTGATTTAGTCAATGTTCACCTGAGCCTGCCCCACTGTATTTGAAATGCCGCAGTTTCCCTCTCAGGATGGAGAAGTGTCCAACTCAGGGCTGTGACTCCAACAGGACTGGTACACAGAAAAGTGGATCAGCCCCAGCAGTCAGCTCATGACAAATGCTTGTATGCCCACTGGATTACACCAGAAAGACTCTTACTTGTAAGTCAGACCTGTACCATGTATCTTCCTGGCAAGAAGTACTATGAGACAATATCAAGGTTACTGTGACCAGAGCTTATGCAGGGTAATATTATGCAAGCCACTGAGGCAGAAAACCCCGGTGCCATGCCTGTATAAGCCCCTCAATACAGCTGTCTTAATTGCATATGACTAGATGCCTGTTTCTTGTATTTCAGAATCCTGATTGTAGCTGGATATGCTCCAGTTCAGAGACAGCGTGAGGCCTCCCTGCAGCAAAAAGCTCCTGCTCTAAGGCTGTGCATAATAAGGCTTGACTTCAAACTACACTTCACTTGATTAAAACCACCAGAGTCTTGCTTTCAAGGAGACCTTGTTGATAAGGCGATTCTGGATTCAGGCAGTTTCAGTGCACAAAGCCACCAGCTGTAATCATGTCCTCCCATCTCAGCTTCTCAAAGGGGTCCAAACTGCCAGATGTCAGTTGGTCAATCGCCAGAAACCGATGCAGTCGTCGTCTTTGCACACCCCAGGGATGGCCAAGTGCAGACACAAGGAAGAAGAATCCAGAAGCTACTTGAATGGCAGGATGCATGACTTCATTGGGATACATTCCATTCAGAGGAGGAAGATCCTTCTATATTCACCCACCAAAATCCACTGGACTCAGCCCATCCCTTCCCCATCAGGAGTTACTCCATGTGAGCTACTTCTGTGATGCACGAGTCCATCCTTTCAGGGATATCCAGACAGATCCTTTCTTTCTCCCCAAACTTAAAGTCATTAAAAAAGATACAAAGAACTGCTTTTGGCAGCACAGAGGCATTTGAGATTTGAAAAAATCTGGAGTGCAGGACCCAAGTAGATGGGGAAGTAATCAGTCCTTGACCTAATAAATAGAGTAGAAGGAAGTCTTCAAAGTGGCCAGTAGCCCAAACACAAAACCTGAAGTCCTGCAGAGACCACTAGGAGCTTTAATGCACCACACTGCATGGGGGCATCTCCTGGGATCTGCTGCCATACAGTTTCTCTGACACCTTTTGTTAGGCTCATAGATTATTTGGAATCTTGAAGTTCCTTTGCCTTCTTCAAAATCAGGTGAACATCAGAGATAGGATAATCCTGTGTCAATGAAACAAAGCAACATAAGTGACCATCTAGGATTTCTTGCCCACATTGTTCTACCTAAGCAGGGCAAACTTTGACAACCGCATTCTTAGCCTATAATAGCATGCTGCCATATTCAGTTACTCCCTTAACAGCTAACAGTTTCCTGTTTTGTAACTGATCAAGCCTCAATACCCTTCAAGAAGTCTTTTTTTTTTTTATTTGTCCTCCAAGGGTACAGTAAGCTGGCCTGCTACAAGGGCTATCTTCATGCCAGAAAGCCTTATCAAAGCCAGTATCTTGCACAGCCCAAAACAGGAACTGGCAGAATCAGAGATATCCTACTGTTCAGTGCAGGCGTTTTCAACCTTGGGCTCTCACAGATCTCAGAACTAAACAAAAGCCTCTGGCCAATATAATTTCTCACTGTTACATAAGGTTTTACACCTTTGCTGGAAAATACCAGATTTTTTGCAAACCAAAAGATGTTAAAACACCTGTAGTCTATGACAATTTCTCTGCAGGCTAGAATGTGTGCACAAGCAAGAGATTCACACTTCCAGTAATGAGCATGCTGTAAGATCCCTTAAGGGTTTTCTGCATGCAAACGTTAGAAATCTAGTACTTCTCTTCAGACACGTGTACTCTCTCTCATACAATCACCCTCTCTCACAGTACTCTTAAGACTTTTCAAATTGCTCCCTATGCCCATTATATTTAATCCTTACCTGTAGCAGCCTCATGTTCAGAGTGAAGTCTCCTTCCAGCAACTGATCCCGGATTAGTCTGAAAGATGGAAATTATTCCAGCTACTTTTGACTCTTATAGAGGAATTTCAAAAACCGACTACACTGTGCCCTTACAGAGGCTTTAGAAAACACTTTTGCTATGATTGTAACAACTGACTATAACCTATTCACCAGATGCCTTAACGCATGCCTACAGAAGACATCTGGATCCATGGATTTAGGCAAAGGAGGGAAAGAGAAGAGCAGGAAGGCTACCTCTGTACTTACGTCAACATGGCACAACAGACGAGCAGAAGAAAATCAAAGCGCTTATCATCAGCAAAGAGGGAGTCCCAGATACGGATCACATCTGGCAGCAGGAACTCTTGGGACAAGAGCAGTGTCAGCCAGCGGAAGGCAAAGAACTGGGGTTTGATGTTCTGTTCTTGCTGTCAGACATGCACCAGGCAAAGAATGAATACGTGCTCTTGGCCAATTCCCTACAAGTAAGAGATGCACCCCATGTTTCCATCCCCATCTCCACCCTGATATAGCTCCAAGCTGCCAACTCATACTGCAAAAGCAGCAAACCCACTGTCTCCTTTAAAGACTGTCACATTCAAACTAGACCTAAAGAGATTTTTAGTGCAGCCATGCTCCACAGCTACAGAAAAGCCAGAAAATGCTCTTCTGTCCACAACATGGAATAAAGCAAGCTTTTCTTCCTAAAGGCACTATTTGCGTTAGTTCCGTTAAACTTGCCAAGTAAAATGCTGTTCAAATGGGAACGTTAAAATTATCTGCAAAGCTGCAGCCCTCCCCCTCTAGCAGAGGCACTGTTTTGTCAGGATTTCCTCTCCCTTCCAGAAGCCCTGTATTTATCAAAAGGTTTATTATTCACAAAAAGAAACAAAGATGGAACAGAGCTCACACTGATGGTCAGTAAAACATACTCCAAGCACTGAAGCTTTCTTGTTTTGTGCTGTTAAATCCAAGGGACCATAAGTTTAATCAAGGTCAAGTGAGTTCAGGATCCTGCTGATATCCTTAAGGACCAGCTGCTGCATGGCCAGGACCATTTCCTGCCAGCCAAACAGTAAGCAGTTTATTTTCTCTCCACTGAATCAGCCACCAGCCAACACTGTGGGTTGTGTCACTGTGCTGACAAACCATCTTTTATATTATAAAAGAAATATATCCTGGTTTTTCCAAATGCCAAAAAAATCTCAGTGTGATTTGGTGAAAGTTGGAGTAACAACAACAGCTTTCCCGTCCAAATTCTCCTTGGACTTTCACACCAAATGGACTGTAAGACCTGAAGATGTTTTCAACAAAAGCCACCTTCTACATGTTCTACAAAACTTACACCAACCCAAGGCACTCTGAGACCTTTGGATGAAGGGGAATGATAGAATTAGGTGGGTGGGATGGTCCAGCTTGCTGGATTTCAGTTTACTTCTGGAATGATCTCCATGCAGTTTAAGTTAGTGCTATCGGGGCAGCCAATGACAATAGAAGCGTGTGCATGGAGGGGAGGCTGGTTTTTTTGTTCTTAAAAGACAGAGACACAATTCCTGTAACCTCAAATGCCAAGGAACTCTACAACAAAATTCATGTTTTGCCTGATGACTAGAAGAGAGTAAACACTCCAGCTACAAATAGGCCTCAACCCAGGTGACCAGGGATCATGGCCAAGTCACTTCGGACTCACAGTTGGCAGCTTTGCAACAACTATTGTTTGCTTTCAGTGAGGCAGGGGAGGAAAGCCTTGCTGTGTCAGCTTGCTCTAAGATTACTCCAAGGAGAGGTTGTTTCAGCTCACAGATAAGACAGACTCTATGCCCTTCGTACACACTCTCAATATCTCTGTTCAAGCACTGTAACAGTTTAACAAAACTGGTTGACATTTAAACACACTATTAAGCTCCACTCCTCGCGTTCCAACTGAGACTCAGAGAAACACCTAGCTCCTCACCAGTTTCAAATACAGCTCCACATCTTTTTCCTTCAGGGTGGAGTAGACCTTCTCCATTTTGTAGGTAATACCACACTGAGAATCATCCAGGCTTTTAATGAAGTTGTCCCGAATTTCAGCCATTAGATTGGTAAAGCAGAAAAACGTGTCAGCCTCAGCATGTTCTGAAACAAAAAAAGATGATGGGGGAATAGAGGAAGCATCACTGACAGAAGCACAGAGACTTAGAACTGTTCTTACTCCATTATTGCTCTGCTGGATTCAAATACGAGATCCTGCAAGATCTTGGCTTGCTTGGTCGAGGACAAGACAAGACTTTTTTTTTTTTCTTTAACACTAGAAATGTCTACAGAGCCACTGCAGATACAGATGCTGTGTGCAACACAAGGTCTTCATGACATGGGGTCACAAACCAGTTATCTAAGCCCAACAACACCATCCTCTCTCCCTGCCATCAGCACACACCCTCAGAGCTCCCATGAAGTAGAAGCAACAGGCAAAGTACTCCCATTCCATTCTTTTCTTACCAGGTATATATAGTATAAGCAAACAAGAGTTTCTTAAAGGGGTTTTAAGTTTCACAAAGTGCAACTTAGATCCGTGCAAAACAAACAAAAACCCCTCAAAAATCCTCACTTCCTATGTCCTCACCACTCACAGTCCATTCAGTTTCTATCAATTTGCTGTGGTCCCCAAAACTCCTCATCTCTTGCTGTATTTGCTTTTTGGCTCTGATCAGTCAAAACAGAGTTGTTTAAAGAGAGTCTCATTCTCAAAACAGTTCTTTATGCAGAGAGCGTGCAGTACAACAGCCATTACCGAGCGGCCAAAAGTCTCTCACCTTTCCACTCACTGTTAGGATCTGTAGCAAAGGTGTAGTAAAGAGGCCCCACGATCTCATTCATCCCCTGAACGTACGCTATCCCAGGGTTCAGCTTGGCGTAGATGAACAGGATTCGCTCCACCACTTCCCAGTGAGCTTCACAGCCATTGGGCAGAACTTCATACTCGCCCAGGGAATTAGGTGTTGTTTTAAGAGGGGAGCTCACCTGAAGAGCAAGGCAAGACTACGGCTGATTCAGGATAACCAACTGGCACAGACAGTTCTGTACATGTGACAAGCTTGGCTTTTAATACACATAGTCCCCCAAAAGATTTGGGCAGCTTATACCAAGCAGGCAGGTGTTCACATAAATCAAGACAAGCAACTCAACAACTGTAACCTCAAATCCAAGGAACTCTACAACAAAATTCATGTTTTGCCTGATGACTAGAAGAGAGTAAACACTCCAGCTACAAATAGGCCTCAACCCAGGTGACCAGGGATCATGGCCAAGTCACTTCAGATGACTTAAGACTTTTCAAATTGCTTTGAAATTTGAAAAGTTCAAATTTCAAAGTTCAAAAGACTAAGGCACTAAAGTCCTATTGCTTGCTATCTCTGAAGAACAAAGCAGTCTGTGCAGCATCAGACAATAACTTTCATTCATTGCATCACCTGATCCCATGCAGTACAAAGCCACGGCAGTTCCACGTCTTTGTTATACTAACAGTATGAGGAAAAGTATAGATCTGTTGTGGTAGCAAGTCACCTTCCCCAACAGCATGTGGCACTTGTACTATAATGCTCATGAAAAGAGACAACACACATTTCAGCAGATACCCAGGTCTTTTCCTAATTGCAGGCTTATGAGATCCCGTTCTGGAAGACTATGTAAATTCAACATCAAATTAACCCTTCAGTGTTTTGTTCACAGAAAGGCATATATCAAGCATAAAATACATCTTCCTGCAACTCCAACTTTCACCAGAAGTCAGGAAAAAATAACCCTTAGAATTAAATACACTTGTAATTCCCTAGCAACCATCAGGCACATCACCTGGTTCTACAAAGCTGTCTAGCCACCAGAATGCACAGTATCTGCTGGAGTATTTCCCCAATTCCACCATACAAGCAGAAAGAGAAAAAAAGCCCAAAATACACCTTCCCCTTGATCAGCTAATGATAATGCTAATCAGCTCATGCCCCATGGACAGTCCCCACCTAAATCTCACATTTGTAACCCCACTGCGGTTTCGTGCCACCGTCTGTGACTTGAGTGTGGTCTGCTCCACCCGCTTGCGCAGCGTCTCAAACTCATTTTGGGGGTCCAGGATTAAAAGGCAGGGGTAGTCCGTTGGGCGCTGGAAGAACGCCATGTCAGGGTACAGCCTCCTAGGATGGATACAGAAGGAAATCAGGCATAAGAAGAAGGAAGTACATGCCCCATGTTGAATGGGAGGCTCCATTTAATATTAAACTTCCTTTACAAAGTGTTAACCAAACCACTTGGGTTCAGAAACTTGAGTCATTACGCCTCACACACCTGACATCTTTGTCTATCTGGAGAAGCACTTCATTATCCTTGAAGTAAGTATTCCATCGACTGTCTGGGTTTGGATTGAGAGGCTAAAGAAATAAACAACAGAAACAGAACAAGCATGTTTCACATGTATCAAAATCCTCAGTAAATATACACCGATTTAAGATTTCTGTTGTCCCTCTCATCTGGTAGCAGCACACTCCTAGCACATCAAATTAATTTTTTTCTCTCACTAGCTACTTTTAGTGTTGTTTCTTCAGTATGCAGGAAGCGGATCAGAGCTTGTGAAACAAGTGAGCACGCAGGTTCACTTAGAGAGACAAGAACCCAACATTTCCAATCCCTTTTCACCTGTCTCTTAATGACTTTGTTCGCAAATCAGGTATCCTGTCCTGTGTCAACAAGATTCCTGATTGCAGCTCCAACCTGTACAACAGAGACAGCCTTTGTACTTAGGTGAGAGTTACCCACTCACACAGTACTTAGGCATTGTGGTTATTAGTTACAAATATCCCCCTCTATCTCAGCTCTGAGAAGGCAGATTAAATACTGCCATTGTGCCCACAAAGAAGGAAATACTATTACTATGAACAAACCATTCTATATCTGACAAGTTTTCCAATACGACAAACTGAACTCCCTCTCCACACACACACTTTCCTCTCTCCACATCAAGATCCATGCAAAGCTAACAACTAATCAAAAGAAGAAAAAAAAAACCCCCACAAACACAAGAAGCAATGTTCCAAGATGTTCAAAGATCACTGTAACCCGCCAATGCGTGGAGTGTTACAAACATGCTAGTTTTATAGCACCAAGGCCTCCAGAGATCACGGCGGTGACCGTGTGCTAGCAGAGAAGTTAATGTTCAAGACAAGTCAGGGAAGCAGTTGTATCATTTTACAGCCCTTTTTGATCAGTTACTTCATTCCTTCCTCCAACACATACACTCTTCACAGCATTTTCAGAGAAGGAAATAGCAAGGGATGCAGAAAATAGTCAAAAAAAAAAGCCAGCAGCAGACTAGAAATAAGTGAATGTCCTGCCTTCCATGCCATAGTCCAACTTGACTCTCCTGCCTCTTTTTATATCCTGTGTTCAGAATAGCCTGCTCTGACTCCATCTGTGGACATGACTTCCTAGGAGAGCGTCTCCTTGCTAGAGGTACCTCTTGTGAGCCTCTCCCTTTCCCTATGAGACCTGTAGCCTGGGCAACTAGCCCCAAAGGAGGAGAGAAGGGATATACATAGCTGAACACAGCTCTCTCCAGAACTATTGGTGCTTTGTCAATAATTCACACTGAAGGCTACCAAGACAAAAGCACCAGGCTGATACCTAGGAACCAGCCCTCTTGCTAGCAGGGAAAAGTTCTCTCAGTCGAAGAACAGCCCAGGGCTCCAGACTCCAGAAAAACAGTTCATAGCTCTCAGGAATTTTCTGGAACACAAAGGCCTAAGCACTTACGTGATCTTCTAAGGTCACATCTTCCCTTGAAACACCCAGGTTGGCTTTGGCAATCCCAGGCTGGATAATCATTTCCTTTAGGAACTGGGAATACAGATCCCTTGAGGAAGAAAAGAGGAATTGGCAATGAAGCAGAAGGTAAGTCAACATAAGCACCCCAACCGAGTTCAAACAGATCTCTCTGTACCACCCTGCTCAGCCAGAAGGCATTTGATTTTCTCTTCAGTTGTGTTCAGCTGAAGAGGCCAATCCACCAGACCCAGGAGACAGCCTACAGAACAGTGCATTCCACATAAGAACAATTCATTTTATGAAGGTACTTAATTATTTAGGGAATTATTCTCTTTCTCTGCAGATATCGTTAGAAATAAAGGCACAAGTACCAATGTCCTCACCTCTGTTTCTTCAGCAAAGAGCTCCATAAGGCTTTCTCTAAAGGGAGGTAGTTCAGAAGTATCTGTACAGAAGACAGATGCACACAAACTAGTATTTGGACAATGAGCTATTATAGCTGTAAGATGAGCAAACCAAATGCAGCAGCTAGAACTGGTGCTGTGAAAATACTGGGAGCTTTCTCCAGAAAGCCTATTACTTTGCCAAGTGAGAGTAAGGAATATTTCCAGGACTGGTTTTCAACACAGACCTATTTGTAGGACTGATCAATAGCAAACCCTAGCTTAATACTGAGGGCTGTTCTCATGCAATGAGCAGACAGACACTTTTTATCATCCAAAGTGATAGCTGTCCTGTGTCAGTAAATGCTATTGCAATTGTGCCAGTGCTGATCTCCACAAATTACTCTCAATTCTGAGTGGCTTTTGAGCTCTGGATTTTTTTTGTTTCAGTTTTAGGTGCCCCAAAATAGTATGCACTTAAGCAACCCAAAGCATCAGTCACAAGAAACAAAAGCACTACAAGCAAAACCCACCTTCCAGCACAGGCAGCGCAGCCCACCATCAAAGGGAATTCCTGTGGAACATCAGGCAGAGAAATAACTACGTTAGCCCCAGCCTCCTCACCGTGGTTTGCCAACGTCACCGAACAAACAAGCAAGGCAGCACTTTTCCTCCCCGGGGGGCAAGAAGTTTTCATAGGGTTGCTACAGGGGTTATACACAGTGCCAAACCAGCCGGTGCCTCCCACAGGTGAGGGTGCCAGCAGCAGGCTTTGCAAGTAGAAAGCTGGGGACCGTGCAGGTGATGGACAGGGCACAGCAGAAGCAAGGAAACGCAGAAGCGTCTCAGAGAGAGGGAAGGAAGGGTTTGCCTGGAAGTTTGAGGCTGTGCTCAAAGGGCAAGTGAGGACTGCTGAGGCCTGATGGAGCTTGGGCTTGAAAACGCACCCGCCAGCCTCGGGTTTCCAGCACCCACCGCGTCACAACAGCTCCAGAAGGGGATTACTTCGCGGTAGCTGAGAGGACTTCAGCCGTCGGACACCCTGGGGCCTGACACCCCGTTCCCTGCACCTTCGGGAGTCCCGAGCCCCACGGGGACAGCACCAGCCCTGGGCGACCACCGGCGAGAGCTCCCTCGGGGCTGGGGCCGTGCCCAGCGCCCTCTTCCCCAGGCCCGGGCCGGTCCCCACACCTCCCCGGGCCACTCACCGCTGAAGCAGAGGTCGCGGAGCTTGGTCAGAGCCACGGTAGGTTCGCCGAGCACCTCCTGGAAG